TTCTTTCCTATGACTGCTGTAAAAGTGGGCCGAACAATGCAGAGCTTCAGGGGCCCAGACCACAGCCCTACCCTTTAATTCATAAAAACCTGTCACACCCCGGACATCCTGTGGTATTCACCGTTTGGTATTCATGCTGGTTTCTAAAACTTGAGAAATCTGGCAAGTCTCACAAGCATTATTCATTCATTAAGCTGTGATGAGTAGGTAGAGATCTCTGGCATGACTAATGAATCCAGATGAATTTGACCGTAGGACTTGATGCTGCTTGCATAACCTTCAAATGGCCCTGTAGGGAGTAAGTCCTATGGATAATGTACTGGCTGCACAGCAGATATCTATTCTGTGCCCTAGGCAGTGGTGGTGCTCGGTGCAGGGGCAGCAATTGGAGGTTTGTTTCTGTGGGGGTGGATGTCACTTCTCTTTTTTTGCCACCAACATATATCAATCAGTCATTTAAATACTGAATTTCAGGGGCAAAAAGTGACCCCTCCACCCCACAGCAACACATTTTCAGCCACTGCTCCTCTAGCGTGTGCTGTCATTGCTGCTCTGTGCTCCCTACTACTGGAGCCAGAGATGCTGCAGGAAAGGTGCAGGATGTGTGCGGGGGAGATACTGAAAAGGAGGGGGAGGCACCCTCCTAGCTTCATGCCAGAGCCCCACCTTAGGCAGTGCCTACAAGTTCTGCTCTGCTCACCCGTCCAATATTGTGCTACTGTCTCCCAGTTCAAGGAGTGCCCTTCCCTGCCACAGCTCATGTGTCATCTTGCTGCTGAGTTTATCTGGTATGCCCTTGCTTTCTAGCCTGGTGGGAAAGGAGTTAATAAGTATTTATTTGCCTTCATGGTGATCTCAAGCCTAACTTTGGCTTTTGGAACATAAGTATGTTCTGTAAATGAGTTTTTCTTCCAAGCTAAGAAGATTAAAATTGGCTTCCCAAATCAAATGTAAACACCTAAGGCTACGTTTTCCATTTACTACATAGGAGATGCACGCACAAAATCCATTAAACTAGCCCTCTTCACACCCACGGGA